ATGCTGCTGGAGCTAACTATGGGCTGAGTTATCACTCCTAGAGGAGAGGCAGGCAATGGGGAATTGTTGCTGCTCTGGTAGCATGGGGGAGGGCAGGTATTTGCATTGGGGCACTCGGTGTGGCTCCGGGAAGATACTGGGGTGATTTGGCACAGCGTGGCAGGAGGAATCTTGCTCGCTGCCACCACTGAAAGCAGTGAATAAATTGCCTGCTTACAAATACTGCTGCCCTGTACTCCTGGCAGATCATGAGCCTGAGCTTGTGTGCTGTGGCCCAACAGCTTCTGGTCCACAGTCTACTGCTGTCAGGGAGGCCAGGTGCCAGGAAAGATGGTGGTACTGCTTAAAGACCTGCAAGCTGCACAGAGAGGAGTCAGGGAGTCATTTTACCCGTGCCAGTCTTGAAAGGCCTATTCTCTTCGAGAACAGGGGAAAAATAATTGTGGGGAAATTAATGACATGTCACTGTATGGTCCTCCTCTGATTTGTGTGTTATTTTGCATTCAGATACCTGTTCGAAGACAGGCAGTGATGGAAAGCTGGGGAAATAAGTTTTCAGCTATTCCAGAACATTCTGGTGATAGATAGGGACTTTTGGAAAAACCCTAATAACATGATATTTTATTTTTACTTTAGCCTAGGTTTCTATTGCCTCCCCTCTGGCCTTTTATAAATTTCAGAGTTACACAAACACTTCCTAAGAATGCCCTTCTCCCTGCCTGTATGCTGGCCTTGCACATAAACAGGGAGAGCTTGAAATCTGGTTGTGAAAGCTCCCTTTTAACTGGGCAATAACAGCCTCATCTCCAGCACTATTCATTTGACATAGTAGAGTAATTTTTCTTTGTTAATGATGGGAGCTGTTTCCTATCTAAAAGGTTTTCTAGCTGTGTTTTACACCAGTGACATTCATGTGCTGCTGTTTTCATAATCAGAAATGGGCTGTTAGTTTATATGGCATTTTTCAAGATTTTCTCTATAACAAGTAAATATTGAATTGCCTTTGCCTATTTTAATTCACCTTAATCTGTTGGAGTTGTATTGGTCAAAATTTTGTGTGATATGAAATCAGTATTGTGACTTTTTCCATTTTTTTTTTTCTAAATTGAAACCACAATTTGAAGGTGCAGAAAAAGAAGAAAAAGTTTATTTCTTCTCTGACAAGGTTAAAGCCCAATAGTAAGCCAGACAAAAACCCCCAAAAGCTCACACTGGATATGTTTATTGAAATATTCAAATAGAATTCATTCTCTCCATAGAGTGAAACTGTGGTGGCATATGGGGAAGTAAGATATATTACAATAAAACTGATATAAAACAGTTGAATTCAGAAATAGTGGCAGGAGATAATTTTAGTTCATTATGATTTAATTCAATTAAATGCAACACTGTTAACTGCAGACTAAGAAGTATTACTTGTGCCTGTGCAGGCACACACAAGCATTATTTATTCTCTGCTGCATCTCTCTTTGCAAAAGAAATTACACCAGTAAAAGGGGGGTGCTTGATGCTTTCATAGTGCTGTAAAACTCTTTATACCTCACAGACCTCAGTGGAAATTTGACCTGAGCAAGGAGAAACATTGAGGTAAGGTGTTGAAGAGTAGATCCCTCAAAACCCAGGAAGATGTCCTTAGGTAGTATATGCTCTTTGAATGTCAACAGTGTTGGTGCAGGCTTGTGGATTAATTTACCAGATAGTGCCTCAAATGAGGTTGGCACCAGCAGGGAAAATATAACTGCTTATTTTATTTTTTTCTTCAACAACAAAAAAATCCATCAGAAAAAACTGCTCAGTCTGAGCTGCCTGTGCCTTGTCTGTCCCAGGCACTGCTATGAGTCTCCTGAAGGAGAGAAGTTACTGATGCCCATCCTTCTCCTCCTGCTCTGTACCTGAGCGCGACACCTCACACCCAGAGAGGCACAAAGGCATTCAAGGCCAGTGGATTTCAATCTGAGCTATCTGCCTAAATGTCTTTGTGCATCCATGCCTAAGGGCCATGCTGGCTATGTCCCAAATCCCAGCTCAGGCTCACAGCTGAGGAGGAGGCTAATGAAGGGCAGGTGGCACAGGACTGAGCTCTCTCCTCTCTCCCAGGGCTTTCTGACCCTGCAGGTGTGGGATGGTGAGCTGTGACAGAGAGTGTGTTTGTTGTGGCAGTGGGAAAAGGTTTAGCATGGACCCAAAGGCACCTGCATGAATGCTTGGCATGATGGCACAGAGTAACAGGTAGGAGCTTGGCTGGGATTTTTGTATGGAATCAACGAAAAGAAATTTCTTATTTGTCAGCTATGTTTTATTTGACTGTGTAAGCTGAGATGTGTGACCCTGTCCTACCTGCGTCAGGCACCCAGTGCTCGTGCTTAAGGACTCTCTATAGTCTAAAATCTCAGACCCTGTAGCAGACAGGTGTATTATAAAGTCCTTGCTTATGTTTTGTGACTATGTGTTGCCATCATGGCATGGTTTAAACACCCAGCTCCTTTAGCTGCAAACAGAAGGATGCTTCCAGTCCCAAAGAATGTGTCTACAGTTTAGATCTAGGATAAAACCTTACAGCAAATGTTTCTGTGAACCATAAACAAAGAAATAAAATTCAGTAGGGACAATGATTACCCTTACACCAGCTGCTTGACCACTGTCTGTTTATATGTAAGCTATCAGAAGAGCCTAAACTGTTGAATTATTCTTAAGACAAGAGTCAGCCTGGGAAGCAAGAGAGGGGGCTGTGATAGAGCAGCAGGGGATGTGATTTCATCTGCAAATGCTTTGAGATTTCTTGATATTGCAGGTAACTGTCTTTGATCACAGCCTTATAACCATCACCTTTAATTTGTAGCACAGAGGTTACTATCTAGCACCCAGCTAGCCAAATGAAATGTATGGCTTGATTAAGGATCTCTTTTGTCAGTAATTTGTGCCTAATGTTTTTAGCTTTCCCACGGGCTGTTACAGAAAATGGTAAATCTGGTTTAAATGAAACCTGATACTGTTAATGGTTTAATAGCAGCTGCCACAGGGTTATGGCATTTTTCAACAGATGCTTCTGTTTCATTTTAAGCCTAAACTAAGTCTTAGAATATATTTACATAATTAATATAAAGTACACGTACATAATAATCACAATATTTATAATTTTAAAAGATTTCCTTAAATGACTTTGCTGTTATCTAATCACAATGTAAAACTTGGAAAAGGAAGGCATATTACTAGAAATAATAATTTGTATTCACCTCTTCAAAAAAAGTTGTAGATGCAGTGCAACTTGTGAACACTTGTCATCTCCTAACATGGCAGTTATTGGTGCAGGTAAATCTCTTGCTGCTTCAGAAAAACAGACAAAAGCTTTGCTGCACCTGAGTTATGCTTGTTATCTTACCTACTGTTCAGTCAGGAGTATAAAAGAATTGATGCTTGTGTTTAAATATACACATCAAGAAAGAGCTGTGTTGAGGTGTGTACTTATATACAGAAATATTTGAAGCAGTAAAGATTTGTGGATGATTACTGGCAGCACAATGTCGTCTGATTGAGGAAGTCCCTGCTAATTTAAGAAAACTTTGGGCATTTTAGGCTGTTCATAGTGGGTGGTTGGTTTGAATGGATTTCTTCTATTTGGAGATCTTATTCTTGACTTCCAAGAAGTCCTGAGGGTGTATCCCACAGGATATTCAGAGTGAGAGGATGCTGTATGTACATGTCTGTTCACAGTGAGGAGAGAAGGAGAAAAGGCTCCTCTTTCTCTGCCTTGGCTGGAAGGCAAAGTAATGGTGGGCAGGCAAGTGTACCAAGGCATTTGCTGCGATGAACTGTGAGGACTGAAATGGGAACAGTAAAACGGGAAAAACAAGCAAATAACAGAAAATTGTCTCTATTAAAGAAGCATCCAAGATTGTTTATTTAAGAGAGTAGGCAGTCACAGCTCTCTCAGGGGAATGTGTAGTAGCAGTGGTGAAGCAGATGTTGGACTGTGTGAGGGGTATAGATCACGTATCTGCTTCCCTTGTCCCCAAGGTGACTACCCTTCATAGCTATTAGCCTGGGTATGATGGCAGTCATCTTCTGTGTTCTAGCTTTTGGGGGGATTTTGCTTTATTTGTCCTTTTGAATGTATTAGGATTGTTCAACAGGACCTGGGTCAATGCCCACCTTAATTAAAGAAAACAGCTGCAAATGTGGCATAGCACCAGATTTCTTCTTCTTTGTGTTTACCCTTCTTTCTTCTGTACCCACCAAAACCTTACCCACAGATTTACATAAGTTCATTACTTCAGGGTGTTTGTTCACCACTAGATTTCAAGTCTTTGCCATGGGAACACAATTGCTCCAGGCCCCAAGGCATTGGTAACCCTCTTCCACACCTCCAAGCTGCTCAGAAGAATATCTTAACCTATCTTATGAAAAGTGTAAACTGTGTTTGCCAGTTCTCTCTGAGAACTTTTAACCTCAAAATCCTTTTAAACCCTGCACTGAGGTTCACAGACTTTTCACTAAGTGCTTTTATTTAAAGGAAGAAGGCTATTAAGTACCAACATCATTCCCACAGCTGGGTGGAGAAGAGTTTGTGACTCAGTGGGGAGCAAGTTTGCAAGTGTTCTTACTGGGGGCTTGGATGATCTTTCCAAAGCTGCTGCAAGACAAATCCAGTGGTGAATCTCAGCAAGCCCTCACAAGGACACCTCAGATTTCCAAGCTGGTTTGTTATTCTCTCTTAAAGATTTCTAGTGGCAATGTTTTTCCACCACTGGTACATAAAGACATAATATGAATGCTTTCTGAAAACAAGAAGAGAAATCATAAAATAACCACACAAGAAAAAGCACAACATTTTTTGTTGGAGTGGAAAATTGTTCAAATATATGATTTTTGGGAAGAGTTGTTAATTGTTTTAGCGTGCAAAATTGGACCAAAGGTATGATGATTGTAGAGCTTTATATGATAAAAGAAAGTCAGTTCCCTGGTGATGTTTTTGTAACAAATAAATCTTCCTCCTTTGCTAGGTTCTACCACACAGAAAAGCTTTGAAACCAGGCATGGTACTCCTCTTTGAACTCTTCCTTCTTCGTGGCACCTACACCTGGATTGATCGAGAAGTGGGATGGGGAGCTTTTCCCTTATGTGATAACAATTTTAATGCTTTGGAGGGAAAATTTAAATGTCCCTTCCTTAGAGGACATTATGACTCCAAAATCGATCGATTCAAAAAAATTGAAAATTTTATTTCTCAGGACTTGGATCATTGGTTATGCAATTTCTACTTTCAGGTTTGTACTTTAAAAAAATTGTTTAGTTTTCTCTATATTTTTCTTTTTGATTCTGAAATTGGATTGTGTCTCATCTCCCATTTACTGGGATGTACGCTTTAATCAGTGAACATGGGGAAGAAATACATGGGAAAATTATATGGGAGAAAAGTGTAGTAAACAGAGTACAGAGAAACAAGAACTTCCTAAAATTCTTGTAACAACGTCTTGGACTGCTAGGCTTCACAAACAGTGTACAACAAGCATGTTCTGCCTTTGTGGAATTCCAAACTACTTTTTATTTTTTCTTTCTCTTAGATAATTAAACTACCGCAGGATTCAGATAAGCGAAGTAAGTGTGGTATGCATGTTCATCTGCCACCTGAACTTCTAATGTGTTCAAGCACTGCTGAAAAGAATGGTGTCTCAGAAAATGTTGTACAGTCTGGACCACAAGGTGATGGATTCAAACTTTGATGTTTACATTCAGGTTTTTGCTTGATCAACCCATAGTTTCATTTCAATGTTGGCTAGTCATTATTGTTCTTGTTAAGCTAGATTTTCTTCATTCAGATGTGGGTCCAACATGTGTTAGTGCAGGAATACTCTGACTCTTTATATTAAGGTGGTTTAACTTTGTTTTCAGGTGTGAGAGTTCAAACCAGACTCATTGCTGAGGATGGAATGGCCATGCTGGCCTGTGCTTTAGGCTGAATAATGCTTGGAATGTCACAGCAATAACAGCTCAGCTGTTTATGGCTCCAAGCTTACAGGAAGAGAAAAGAAAAAGATGCTTTTTTGTGTCCTTCTGGAAGAACTTTAGCACCTCCCTGGGCTACAACAAGGACTTCAGATTTGGCAGGGAGATAGTTCTGGCATCAGAAGCATGCCTTATGCTACTCCTCTGAAATTCTGTTAAGATTCAATCAAGTGATAACCCATAGGATGGACAATTATCATTTACTTGTGTACAGCAGACCTCCCCAGAAGCTTTCTCAAAAATCACTGAATGTTCCTTTTAGACTGATCCTCCCTGGACTCTGTGAACCTTCTGATGTAGCTACACTGAGAACATAACTGACCATATTGCAATGGACTCACAAATTGCTCCTTTTCTGGTAGAAATCCAGTAATGAGAAGAATTGTAGGAGGCTGCTGTTCTTTTCTTTTTTCAGCACGTGGGATGAGACTTCCATAAACAAAAATAATTCATTTTTGCTATACATATATTTCTATATTCCCTCTTGTTTAATGAACTGAAGCATTCAGTCAACTCATAGATTGTAGTGTATGTGTGAATATTATGTGCAGATCTGAAACAGAGAATTATTTCTTCAGGGCAGATGTTCCTTAAGCATTTGAGAACAGCAGTAGTGATGCACTGTAGATGGCACAGGAGGAGAAAGAAGAGGCTGTGGAAAGGAAAGAAAGAACGCATAAACAATATTCATTTAGCATGGGCAGCTCAGGTTGGAAGCATAACTTGAAAAGAATCCAGGAGAAGTCTTTTTCAGACAGTTAGTGGTGATTTAAGAGATAAAGAAAATGAGGTTTGCCCTGAGATGCTTTTAGGCTAAGCAGCAACTGCACTGTGATCAAAAGGCTTTTATATAACCACCCTGATAAGAGAAGCATGGAGGTGTAAGCATACACTATACTGAGGATTAAAGTCTTTTTTGTTGTCATGTATCTTCTACATATCTGCTATGTTGCTTTGAGATGCAGCAAACCATGAATAGCGGATCCAAAAGATAGAATTGCAGGCAACACTTATCCACAGTGAAGAATTGTGGACAAACTCTTAATGGATCAAAATTGTTTGGTCCTACCATCAATCTTCATATGCATTTGGAACTGCACATAGAGGGTGCAGCTAAATAGGTTTCTGGAAACACTTGGAAAAACTTGTGATGCTCACTTTGAAAAGTCAAGAAATACAGGTTTTTAAGAACTGAAAAAGAGCATTGGTGTATGTCCTGTTTTGCATGTAGACCTCTGAAATTTGCTGATAAGGCGATCATGGAAGATCTATAATTTTCCTGCCGAAAAGATCCGCACAAACAAAACTTTTAGGAGTATTTTTTGATATTGCTTATATTTATTTATTTTTCTTGGAGCGTTCTTTAAAGATATTATTAGCTGCCAATATCCCCCATGGGTTTGTTTTTTAATGTATCTATGCAGTGCTACAGTATGCTGTTTCTGCTGGTGATATGTTGCTAAGAGATTTAATAATGGGTAAACAAACACAACATGTGGTAATCCTTTTCAAATTAAAAGTTTATTAAATGCTAGCTTGATGACTTTCTGGCTATTTACAATTAGAGGAACAAACCTTAGAGAACTGGAGATCACGTGGTGAAAATCACAACTTCAACATTTCCAGCAGAAAAATGCGTTTATGGTCTGTGGCAAGCCGTCGCACATTGATAAGCCCTAAAAATACAGTATTATATCTGTTAAACCACCAAAAACTGGGGTGAGGAGGGGAAAACTCTGTTAGAGTGACATTAAGGTTGAGACACAAACCAGAGAAAGCTAGAACAGTCTAAATGAAGATGGGTGCTCTGTAACTCACTCTACTGCAGTAGTCTAAATAGTGAGTGATCTTGTATATCAGTACCATATGTGGTACTGCAACATATAAGTGAAATAAAGCAGGTTAGGAGATGGTGTTTTAGCCTTCACTTCAAGTTTGTCTTGGTTTTAGAAGTTTAAAACAGAACCTTCATATTATTTCCATTAACTCCAGGCTACATTATTCTTTTAAGCCACAGCTCCATGTAGGGCTGGGTAAAGCTCTTCCATGCTCTCTGGTCTAGAGCACGGTGCAGGGAAATGCAACATAATGCCTCCCATTCTACCTCCTTTGCAGATCAAAGATACACATTATCAGATCTGGCGTGTCTCTTAGTCCAAACCATATCTTCTCTCCATTCTTTTGAAGTGGTATTATCTAAGAGGTTCACGGCAGAAGACAGCTTCTGCTTTCGCCACCACCGTCCTTTAGTTTTCTTAGGAAAATATTCTGCTGTTGATCTGTTGCCCCTTACAGGATCAACAGTCACTGTCAGATAATAAATAGCAATTTCTGAGTAGAATTCATTATCTACTGTTGCGTGAAAAGTGGTAACAGCTCTAGTAGAAGGAGCTTAGGTAAGATAATTTGACGCGACTACCGGGAATGTTGCCTTGGTAGGCTTGGATCTAAGTAACAAGGGGTTCTAAAATGTATGACAACTTTAAAATTGTTTGTCTCCATATAGACACTAAATATACAAATCCATCAAGAAAATGTTCTCCCAGTGAAATCCAACAAGCCCCCTTTTGACTTTAGCATTCACAGGAAGAGGGGATTCACATGTGCAAAATGTCAGCATAACAGTATATTTTGGAATTGGCAGTCCTTTCATCCTCAGCAAAGTTGATGGACAGCACTCATATATTAGTTCTACAGCTCAAACACTTTTAGGTCAGACACCAGCTCATTTGGAAAGTGTTGCTCCACATTTGTTGGGAACCTTCATCCAAATGCTTTCTTTTGCAGCTGTGCTGTTGATCTGACTTGTGACACAAACACCATTTTGTACCCATCTGAACTTGTCATCAGATAAAACAGGCAAGTGGAAAGCTAGGGATGATGTTATCCACTGTAGTTTTTAGAGCCAAAGGGAAACCTTTTTCATTCCAGTTGACATTCACACCACTTTAAGGTTGGCCATTTTGAAGTCCTGAAGCTGTGGTTGGCATTGTACCAGCACATATGATGTGCACTCAAGACCTAAAATGTGTACTTATCAGGTAGAAGGTGGAATAGTCACTGAGGATTAGGATACTGAAGTAGTACTTTTCTCTTTTATAGTGTTAAGTTTTGTGTATTTTTGGTAAAACTAAAGAGTCATGACTGATTGTACATTTTTTTTTAAGCAGTAATTTTCCTAAGCTCTGGAGTATGAAATCAAGAAAGGAGTTTTACTTAGCCTGACTGTGCTGGGGGAGAGGTGTTATCAGACAAGATTTTGACGGAAACTGTTCAAAGGTAGCCTGGCTGTTAGGACCCAGCACCAGGACAATCTTGCTGTGACAGAACTGGTACACTGTTGCATTAGCCTGAATACACTGCTCCCAGTGTCTAGGCTAGCAGAAATGTTTATTGCTATTGCTTTGCTGAGTAGATTTGTCACACAGAAAGACTTCATCTACTTCAGCTGTTTTGTGTTGGACTAAACAGCTACATGCAGATTTTCTAGGTCTAAAATCTTTCCAGAAAGTCTACTTGTCCCTTATTCACCCCTGCTCTACTATGGGAGCAAAAAGATAAAATAATGCAGGTGTTTGGGAATGTTTTTAAGGACACTATTTTTTTTTACAATGAACAAACATCTCATTTTTCCTTGCACTTAATTTTTTCTTTCCCCTTACAATGTTTGCTGTCTAACAACAGTGCATGTGGCTCCTGTGCCCTATGCATCAACCAGAAGAAAAGTTAGAACCACTGAAATGTCTTAAGTTCTCATACCACGAGCTTATAACAGAAATAAATATTATAGAGAGAGACAATTTTCAGGTGTACAGTTTTTCTGGTTACTGTACCGTTTAGAGTATTTTTTCGGTCTATCTTCCTTCCGTCTGTCTGCCTGGCTGTTAATAACAGGGCTGGTTTGTACCACTTGGCTTCAGCAGTCCTTGAAACTCGCCAGGGTTGTAAAGCTTTAAACAGTTGCACAGGTCTTTAATTGTAAATTAGTTTTGACAGAACTGCTAAGACAAAGGCCTGGCCCATCCCATCGTGATGCTAGCCGACAACCCCTTACTGCTCCTGGAGCAAGGAAACATGTGGAAGGAATTGTTCTTTTACATTTCACAGCTTGTCATTTCCTCTGCAGGGCAACCTCTGACCTCCCCGAAAGATCCTGACACCCATAAGGGAAGTATTCCCACTGTTGTAGAGGAAGTGGAAAAGCAGTTTAATGCTGCGAAAGGAGGAGAAGCGTGTGTGTCAGAAGAAGCTGTGAGGAAAAGAGAAGAGCTTAAAATGCTTCCAGCAGGTTAGGACTTTTATTGCGTTACTTAATTTACTGAAAGTTTGCAAGTAGATCTGCCTGGCATGTGTGTAAACACCCCCATTTGCCTTCCCCCTCACCCTGTGATATCATCTCATCATTATTTCACTGGGCAAAGGAAGTGATGGAAGAGTTTAAATCAATTGTTAGGGATCAAAAGCAGCTTAGGTAAAAAGGTACAGAAGCAGTGGAGTCCCCTGTCTAAAATATATTTGTAGGCCAAATGTGTTAGTAATTACAAGGTGTGTGTGCAGTGCACTGACAACATTAGATTACGGCTGGTGTTTCCGTGACATTTTTACATCCTTTCATTTTATTTGGTCATTTATATCCATGGATCACAACATGTTGCTGTTAGGTGCTTGGGAAGTACTTTTTTCTTCCTGCAGCACATTAATAGCAGTATCCTTTGTTAATTGTGCTGAGCTAAATTACATAAATTACATAAAAGTGCCTGTCTGTATTTATATCAGGTAACATTTGCTTCTGGGGCATGGGATTTCTTCCGAAGGCAAAGCCTGACAAGTTGCTATGGTTGTACATATTTTCTTGATTTTGTTTATTTGTTTATTTTTTTATTGGTAGTTTTCAGGATTTTTTGTTAAGTTTGTTTTTTGTTTTGTTTTGAAGTCCCAGATAAAATGTATTTATCTGAGAATTGAGTAATATAACCCCTAGGTCCTCTCCTAAACTCAAAGACCGCTGTGATGGCCAGAGGCAGATTTACCATGGGGCAGGGATTGGAAGGTACCAAAGATATCTGGATATTTACTCCCACCTCATAGCCTAGGCCAGTGCGAGGAGATGAAAGTGCAAGTGGGAATAAATTAATCACACCTTACGAAGGGAGAGGGTCACTTTCCTTCTGTACCAGGAAGCTGTAATAGGTCATGGTTAGACACTGAACTGTGAAATATTAGGTAAGAGAGAACTACCTGAGGTCTGACAGCTACCTCTTATCTGTGTAAACAGTAGCTTGTTGTCTTCTTCAAGTCCATAGGCTCCCTGAAATGATGCAGTAGAATTTTGGATGAATGTTAGTTTGAGGCCAATGCCAGCTTCCCTTTCACAGCAATCCATGAAATGTCACTCAAAAACAATTTCTTTGGAGCCATCTTTCCATGTTGACTGTCCAGGAAGCTAAACCTATCTGCTATTAAAGGTGCACATGCTGAATATCTTGTTAAGTGGGCACAAATAGGGGTAGGAGCTAGTATGGCATTGCCAAGTCAGAATTAAAGGTGCACATGCTGAATATCTTGTTAAGTGGGCACAAATAGGAGCTAGTATGGCATTGCCAAGTCAGGATGCATAAATGCTGAATATTGACACTGACTCTCATAGATGAGTGAGAAGTAGAATACAGAGCTGGTGTCATTTTTTGTTAAAGGAGTGTTTGTGACAAAATGTTAAGCATATTACAGAAAAAAGTAATAATAATTTTCAATCTTTCAAGGGTTCTCATTACATGTCCTGATAAGATCAACACCTAGCATGTCTTTCCTAGATTTTGGTTCTTCTGAGAATATAAACAGAGACCTAGCTTAGAAATTTTGTTCAACTTCTACATTAGTAGAATCTACTTTGAAATTTATTTGTCCAACATTAGTTGTAAAATAGTAAAAACATAAGTAACCTACATGAACAAAAGGGTTTTAAAATAATGTTTAGTGGTGTTTGACATTTGCTTTTGTCTGCTTTCAGGTTTTTTTTTTCTAATTTCTTTCCTTGCCAACATTTGGATGTTTCCACCTTTACTTAAAATAATGTTTAGTGGTGTTTGACATTTGCTTTTGTCTGCTTTCAGGGTTTTTTTTTCTAATTTCTTTTCCTTGACAACATTTGGATGTTTCCACCTTTAGAGTGTGTCTCAAAACCCAATTGTTAGTTGTGCAGGTAGACAGGTATTCCTTCTCCCCACTTCCCATCACTAATATTTATCAAGATCTAAAACTAACATGTTGAATTTTTATTCAAAATATTTATGTGGAGTTTGGCAGAGACCCAGTGGCAAACACAGTAAAATGTTGACTGTCACACAGCATTTTAGAACCCACATTTTAGAACCCACATTTTCAGTTCAAGACAGCATCTTAGAAATACCCTGAAATGATGCAGTTACAGAAGTGGCTTGATTTGGAAAGTACTGAATTACCACAACCTTTAACAAAGCAAGGTTCAAAGGGCATTATTTTGCATCATCATCACGTCTGAGTAGGTATATTTATGAGGTAACACTATAATTGATATACAAGATGATCTCCAAAATATACATGCACTTTGAATTAGGTGAAAAATTTTTTTGCTTATTTTTATTCATGAGACAACAGAAATTTTTCTTGATGAGCTTAGTTTCTGGTACTGCATCTATTGCATATTATTTTAATGAAAAACTTGTTTCAAAAGTCATGTCACTAAAGTATAGGTTTTCTGTGATGGAACACTGCCAGTAGTGCCACCACTAAACTCATTATCTGCACTCAGAATGATGGAGAGGAAAAAGCTTCATTTTGAAATCCCCAGATACTTTCTGCAGGATTACATATAAACTTGGATTTGTGCTGTACTGGACGTTTAATTTGAAGCTTCAACAGTGCCTGCATTTTTTTCTCCACCAATACTCATCCCAGCAGGCACCTTATCCCCAGCCTTTCTCTCATATGAAACTTAATTTATTTTTTTCAAAGCCCTCAATTATGCATGCACCACAAGTAAAACCCCTGGAAATACGTGAAATATTTTCATAAATGTTGTCACTCTTAGTCAAACTGTTACAACTAGATTTCTGCTCATTTTTGGGATTTGACAGAACCTCTGTGATTCCTTCAGCTCTCTATTCTATCACCTTTCTAGGGCATACCCAGGATAAAGTTTTAGCTCCTATTTTCAGATCTTCTACCTCAGAAGAAATCTCTTGTTTGATGTCTATCTTCTAAAACAAACTAAATATTGAAAATAAGATGTTCAATATCGTTCATATTAAAGATTTCAAATTCAACACCCTTCCTGCATTTGTGGAGAAATGTTGGGAAGTGAATTTTGTTCTTTTTGTGACATCAAAAGACATTTCTGTCAGAGTAAAGCTTCAGAATAACATCTAAGCAAAGATGGCATCAGGCTAACCAAGGGGCTTATTACAGTAGCAGCAGATAACACTCCAAACTGTATTCAGAATTTATTAAGATGTTCCCTCAATATCAAAATACCAAACACAAAACCAGCTTCACTCAAATTGTCTTTGGAGAGGAGGCTTTACATTTGTTAAAATGTGTTTATATAAGCGAGAAATTATTTTATTGAGAGGATTGTATTTATGCTCACAAGCATTTCAGAAACAATTTTATGAAAATCGGTGAATCTTCATTGTAATAATTCTCCTTATACTGCAATGATGTTCTTTCCCTAGTGAGGTGCTGTTTGCTTCTACATAAAATTTGTATACAGATACAAAAATAATTACCTAAACAAACAAACAAACACAAAACCAAAAAAGGCTGTTCTCATTGGTAATTCTTCATGGGTGCCACTTTAAAGAAAACAAAGTGATATTTTAAAATGAAGGTGGCTTGTGCCTCATTTTTCAGTAGAGGTAGGTCCTCAAAGGCAGAGCCTCATATGGCTGAAACTTCTTTCTGTGCTGGTCTTTTCATTCTCTGAGCAGGACTGCATAAAGGATTGCATTGATTTTTCCAATTAGGATCAAATTCAGATACTTCTAATAGTTCTGAAATCCTCACAATCCAAACTCTTCAATTTTCCAACTCTTGCTATGCTGTTTGTTTGCCCTAGTGCATTACTTGAAGGGAGTCTAAATAAGATCTTATTTTCTGTTCCTGCTGTGGTGATTTCTTTGTCTTGTGCTCCACTCTTGGATTGTACCACTCTAAAACCCTTTCCTACTGACTTCAAGAGAGGTTGTAGCTATCAGAAGGGACTGCATTTTACTTCTCTTCTTTGGCCCTGTATAAATCAGAAGTAGTTATCATCAAACTTGTAATTTTCTAGCTATGCAATTTCTTTTTGCCCATATTTTTTAAAAAAATCATTTAGACTCCCCATGCCCCCCATACGTAAATATTTCGCAGTATTGGCCCTATATGCATTTAGGGTGAAGCTGAGCAAGGGGCTATACTTTAAATACACATATCAGGTATTAATGGGCCATCAGTTACCAGGGCCAGACTAAAAAGCTGGTCTGACATGAAATCTTCAACACAGAGTGGGGTCCCCACTGTTCAGTGGTGTCTCCCCAAACCTTGGCTTCATTCTACAGGTTCACTCCTGTTGCTCTACAGTACTTGTTACAGAAGACATAACCAAAGATGATAAATTCCAGACTGAAGGCAGAGAGTAAAAAATGAGTAAGTTTTATTCTCCAAGGGTTAGGAAGCAGTAAGACACCCTCTAAAGGGTGATTTTAAAGGCCATGCTATTATGCTCTGCTATTGCCTTGAGGAGGCTGATGTGGAGAAAGGTAACAGAGTACCAATAATGGTTTTGTTTCCAACCTCTTTCCACCAGTAACCCTTTCTTTGTATCCCTTATCAGGCATGATCCGTGTAGTATCTAAACTATTTGGTTGGGACTTAATATGGCCCAAAAATGTCTGCTCTCAGCATTGTCAAGGTCTGCAAATAACCTTCATATCACCACAATTTTCCAATTCCAGACATTAGTTTTGTCATGCCTGCTCCACATTGGTGGGAAAAAATGCCACCCTATTTTTCCTATTTGTCTTATATGAATGTAAACATTTAAACTATTTTGCTGGACTTATTAATAGCTGATCATAGATTTATAAATTTGGGTTAAGAATCTTATTGTCTTTTCCATGCTCTGGTGTAAACATATATTCCTGATTTTATGCATATATTTCTTGACTTCCAAATAAACTTATTAACAGAGTCTACATTGCCACTGTGCCTTTGTCACAGCTATGATACCTGTCTTTGATCATTCTTTCTTGGTGCTGATTTCTCCTCCTCAAATTGTTCATTTTTATCATGAATGATATTATGTTCCCCTGTCAGGGAGCAAAATGTATTTTGAGTCAATTTACTAAAATAGTCGCTGCTAAGTGTTGTAGCTGGGCAAAGTTGACACCTTTGACATTTTCTAAAATGGCAAAAATAACTGTATTTAAGGTATGATTTATGGGCACTCTATGTCAAAGGAATTTCTATTACAGTTTCTGATGCAGCAGTCCCAACTCTTTCAATAGAGAAATCGCTGATAGTGCAGCTAATTAATGCTTTATTAGGATTCTGTTGTCAATTATAAAAAGTTATAAAAACATAAAATGTAATTTAATAATAAAGAATGGTGTGGTTCTCGTTTCTTTCTCAGAACTGCTTTGTTTTTTGCATGTGGAACAAAATTTCTACACAGCTCAGTTTTATAGGACACATTCCCTTCCCCCCAGCCACTAAGTAGGAGCAACTCCTATGATTAAAAAGTAGACTGGAGTCTTTAAATGTCTTTCTGATTGCTGGCCTCTATTAAAAACTTCTTAAAATAATAGATAGGTTTAATTCCTCAAGCCAAAGAAAAATTGTATCATCTTAAGTATTTTCCATATTTATTATATTGATGAGATTTGGCTACTGAGAAAAAAAGGAAGTAAAATCTCTTGTATTGCAAGTTTTAAATGTACCAGGCTAAGGTTTACTTAATTAGAACCTCCAGGCAATAAAGGAGCCCTTTTTTAAATTCTGTGAATCTTAATATGCTAAATAATGCAAAGCTTCAACTCTTCAAGCATGAGACACACATCTGGCAGCTTAACATTTAAATTACAGAAAAAAAAACCACTTCAGTAGTAATTTTCATGAAGAAAAGAATGGGAAATGTATTACAACTAAATTTAATTTCTTTTTAGATTTTTCATCCTGTCTAATTGCAGGCATTTCCCATCTCCCCTTTTATTTATTTATTTTAATACAGATTTTTTCTGTACTTTTTATTGATCTTTAATTTGAGCAGCTTCTTACTGTTACAGCCATTGAAGAATTACATTGTGTTTTTACTTAGCAAAAATTGTTCAGAGAAATCTATGAGGAATTAAAGTAAATGAGCTCACTGGTATACAAAGAAAAGAGCATTCAGAGCCTTACAAATAAAATATAAAAAGAGCACGTCATGATTAAATAACAGACTTGAGTTTCTCTCCCTCCCATTTCTTAAATGTTGAATATTATTGTTTTCTTTATTCTTTTTATTGCCCCTTTTTTTTTCCCCAAGATAATTACTGCTTTATTCATTTGACTCCAAAAACATTGTTAAAGTATTCATCATTTCAGCAAGGCTGTTTGGAAGCCCATTTTTGTGGGGAAAAAAAAAGAAGAAGAAAAATTAAACAAAGAAAACCACAGGAACCATCTTTACAAAGGTATATTTATATTTTAATGTGTCTTTATGGGTCCATACAGGTATCCCATATACAAAATATGTAGAGACAGTTCGAACAGGTTGTACTGCATGTGTGCATACACGTGACATACCCAGCAGCTGTATTTTAAGCTGCCTTGCTGATTTCAGTAGGTCTTTTCTTTCACCCCAGATGATGTAAATATTGGTAAATTCCTCATTCCTCAACATAGATACACCTGTACATGAGTGTATATATATGTAGAAAGTAAGAAATATATCCATAGGTGTGTATAGAAGCACAGAATTAAAACTGTGACATTGCATGTGCATATATTGTGTATCAACCACTGTAAGGCCTAAGAGCAGATCCTTCCTCTACTGTGATTTTAAATACATTTGACTGTCTTTTACTGTGTGGAACTCAAAATAACATAAAAAGAAAAAAAAATGGAAATAATTGTTAAGTGTGTTTTTGGCTTATTCTCCATGTGCCAAAATGTGCAATACAGACCTTTATTTTTGCCACACCAATGCTTACTATAATGTGGGAGTACATTTTTGTTCACACCTCAGGTCACTGCTTTTCAGGAGCTTGAGGGACACGTGACTTTTGTTTCCCAAGAAAAGTTTATTCGAGTACTTCATGTCCCTGTGCCTCATTCTTGATCCACAACTATGCCCATATAAGAAAATTAACCTCCTTCTGTCTTCTCTGAAGACCACTTCCCAGGATACTTAAAATACCCTCCCATGTCACTCTTCTTGTCCCTATTATTTCTTTATTTCTAATTTTCTCCTTGTTTGTCATCTGTGCAATTGTTATTTCCTACACCACAGCATCTGAAGCCTTCTCTGCATTTATCATACTAACACTTTCAGAATGCTGGAGAGAAATAGCCACCTATTTATAGCTCAGATGGAGGGGAAAAATGATCAGCCTGAAGTTAGTCAGCATCTTGCTGGGAGAGGGACCAAAACCCAGCTGCTTCCTTTCCAGAGGTTTACCTTGTGCACAAATAAGAAAATAATTTATATTTGGTTTTGTTTGGGTCTTTTTTTTCCTTACAGAGGATTACCAAGATTGCCATGACAATACAGACAAGCACTGTGGCTCGTTTTGGCTGAAGGAAGTCAAAGAAGGACATCACAAGGTACTGGTCTTGATATGAACACCATCTCCCTCAAAGCTCACAAAGAAGCCACTGGAGTTTGTGCCATTTGAGAATGATTTGTGGTCTTCCTTGCTCTGGTTGTTGTGTTTCTTTAACCTATCCCTGTGAGTTTTTTAATAGCCACAATAAGGCTGCACATGACCTGGTGTATTGCTGTCTCCTGTATATTTAATCTCTCCAGCAATGAAACTTCAAAGGAGGAGTAGAAAAGACCACCAAGCAATCAAACAACAGAAGCTTGATCAAGCTACAGAATGATATAATTTCAGTAATGTGTAAACATGAGACAAGTTTCATATGCACCATGAGCTTCAAGCTCTCATGTACTTGTGCAGAAGACCATCAGAAAATTGTAGTATATGTATTTGTAGTATCCTGGCCAAGGACATCATTCATTTGTGAACAAATATTGTGTCCTCAGTACAAGTTACCATGGAATTCTATCTGCAACATGATAACACTTTCAGGGTGAGATGCTACTGAAACTTTCAGATTTAATGTAGATCCTGAGAACCAAGATACAAAGGAGAATTTGTATTAATTAAAATTGCTTCTCCCTGCACTGTATTATTAAATTCTATATTTTCCAGTGATAATTGCAATTTTTTCTCAATAAGTGTTGCTCCACTTCTATCCTTAAATCAGTATGGCTGCAGTGAATGAGCTGTAAACATGAACATTCAAATTAATCATGCTGGTAATTTGTCTCACCCTGTTCTAGATATACTCTGAAGCATTTTTAATGCTTTTAATTGACCATAGGAAACAATCACCACAGTACTCAGAGTACCCAAAAACTTGTGCAGTGTAGCACAAATACTCAATAGCTGGGGATTATAATTACAATTTTTAACTTTAGTAGAGTGAGGATCTATATTTGTGACAAAAGCAGATTGGCCAGCTGGATATTCCCTTGCTTTTTAATATCTAAGTTTCCAAGTGATTTATTTCTTCAGGAAGATAAGAGTAACTTGAAGAAAACAGAGTTCCATATAAATTTAGCTGCAGACTGAGGTGCGCATGTGTGAGTGTGTATAGCCTTATATCTAGAGGAGGGATGATTTAAGGACCGATGGAGTGGGTGTAATGGGCAAAGCAACCCGGCCCAACCCATGGGAGTGGCAGGGTGAAATTCATTTCCTACAATCCCATAATAGCACAATGCCTTTGAACAAAATGCCATAGTCTTATAGGAACCTCACTTGTGGGTGGCTCTCAAAGCCACATTAAAGTGACCTGGTTTCAGTGAGGTGCATAAACCCATGGGCAATTCAGCACTGTCTAGTCCCTTCAGTCTCACTGAAATGACTCACAGGCTTACAGTTATTGACATGTTTGAATAGATTTCTGAACTGAGCCTCTTATGAGAATCCTTCTGCACAAAAGAAAATGTAAGCATGTGAAATCTCCTTTCAGAGGTTGTGAGAGCCCCTCATTTTTTAATGGGATGAGTGAATCCTAATGTTCAGAAAGAACCTTGTTTTAGCATGTTCAAGATTTAGGCATTTGGCCTGATTTATATAATTTGGGCCTAATTGTATCTCTGGGTAGCATCTTCTAAAATAACTTTACCTAACAATTGTATATAGGAAACAATGACAAACTAGTGCAAAGAACATACTTAAAGAAAAAGACATAAATTCCTGTAGTGGTTTATTCTCCTCAGCAGTCACTTTTCTTTTTGTAAACAGGATTTTATTTATATTTTATTTTATTTTATTTTATTTTATTTTATTTTATTTTATTTTATTTTATTTTATTTTATTTTATTTTATTTTATTTTATTTTCAAGAGGAATGAGAAAGGTCTTTGAGTCTGAACTCAGCTTTTTGGGGAATATAGATTTCTCTGCTTTGCCCTCCCTACCCCAAATTCATCTGTGCTAAAGAGTTGCAAATGGTCTCCCTCTAAGTGTATTCTGAGTGATGGACATTAGCAACAATTCAGCTTTTGTAGCAATGAGTGTGTAAACCACTGCATGTATCAAGATATTGAATGGCAGCAATAAAAGAGAGAATGCCCACAGACTTCTGAGAGAAGTGAAACATATTCTGTGGTTATAATGCCAACCTCATGCCAATGACTGAGTTTCTGCTTTTTGTACCTCACACAAGCAAACACGGTCTCAGAGAAATTAACTCATAATGCTCTTTAACACCTTTGGGATTTATGTCTTAACTAAAGTCTTTACATCTACTTTGCAAAAGAATAGTTTAATGGAGAAAATATCAGTGCAAACAAACTCTGAAACTTTGACTTCTAGAATATAGATTTGGGCAGTCGTGTAGCTGAAGCTCAAAACATGCGTGAGATCCATGTAATTCAAGACTCAGAATACAAATTCACCTTTTAAAGCAAAATGGTTTGCACAGCAAAAAACGAAAAAACCCAAAAACATAACAAAACAGAAGTAACAAACTTAAATAAAGAAACTTTGTAGTTTTCATAATTAGCAAAGTGTAAAGTGATGTGACTGCAACAATGGATCCATCCCTTGTGCTCTCTAGACTTGTTCACTAAATGTTAGCAAACCCTTTGCAGAGTTTGGTATTGTGCCTGGGAAGGTATTAATAGATATAATCATGGAAGTCACCTGTAGATGTTTGTCTGGTAAATTATGGCCTCATTGTGTCTCTTGGTGGAAGTGATGTCTTGCTCTCTGTCCAGGGGCAATCTGGTAGTCAAATCAGAGAGGCGATGCCAGTGCTGAATCAGACCCTGTGCATGCAAAGGTGTTATTCCAGAGATGAGCACAGAGCAGGGTCCTCTACTTTGTAGCTCAAAGAGTAGTTTAAATGAGCATAAGCTGGCACCAGCACTGAAATATGAGGTACTGTCCCTCTCCTTTGTGCTGGCAGCTGGGGCAGAGTGGCCTGGATCAGAATGGGTCCAGCTGAGAGCTAACCCAGTTAATAAAAAAAAGGAAAAAAAAAAAGAATCCAAACATTATTAACTCAATTCCCAGGTCATTTCCTTCCATATGGCTTACTATGGACATGTCTAGATTTTTGCACTGGCAGAGTGTGGTGTCTAACACTGGAAAAACAAGTGAGTGGAGGAAGAGTGGCTGACTGCTGGTGTCACCATGAGCTTGCACCTCCTTGAGAGGGTTTGTCAGAGCCCCATAGGGGCATAAATCAATTAATGGGAAAATATTCGGTATGCAGCTCCAGGCCCCATGATTTTAGAAGGTTGAAATGGTCTTGGATGTGTCCAGAGGAGGGGAAACTAGGGGGCTGGAAGGCATGTCCTGTCAGGAGCGGCAGAGGGCTTGTCTTGCTTGGAGAAAAGCAGGCTCAGGGGAACCTTGTTCTCTTCAGCTTTCTGGGTAGGGAAAGTGGAAAGGGAGGTGCTGAGATCTTCTCACTTTTCTCCAGTGATAGGACATGTGTGAATGTTTCAAAGATGCACCAGGGGAGGCTCAGACTGGACAGCAGGAAGCAATTCTTTACTGAGATGGTGGTCAAAAGCCTGGAAGAAGCTTCCTAGAGAGGTGATTGATGCCCCCAGCCTGTCAGTGTTTAAGAGACATTTGGACAGTATCCTTAACAGCATGCCTTAACTTTTGGACAGCCCTGAATTGCACCACAGACGCTTGTTGTAGGTCCCTTCCAATTGAAATAGGCTAGTCTATTCAAAGTGTTTTGAATACATACTCAAAGCATCTTTGCCACTGCTCTTTCCCACGTTTGTTATAGAGTGAAAACAGGGCTAGAATTCAAAACAGAGAAAGTGGCACCTCTTATTTTGCTAGCTGTGTCCAGCTAATTACCTTAGTATTCAAACTTGTTTCTTATTTTCATTTAAAGGTCAGCAGGAATAAACCACCTGACCAAGAAAAATCAGGTCCTGAGAACAATGAAAGCCAAGAAGAAGGGAAAACTTCTCCAGAGAACAATTTTTATTTGGAAGACTTGGAGAAATATACCTTTTCTGTGTGGTAAGTGATCTCAGCATCAAACAGTCTCACAACCTGAAAGTTTGCCTTGCCATTTGTGTATTACAGAGGCTTTTTCCCTTAGGTGAAAGTTATTGGGCTAAAAAAATCCCCAAAAACCAAAAACCAAAACCCATGGGATTCTCTTGGACTTCTTAGTATTATTTGTGATTGAAGTTGAATTAAAAAAAATTGAAAGCACTTTTGGTCTGAGAATGCAATTTTGACATTGCTGCATTGTTTTGAGAAGCTGTGTCAGGGGAATAAAGGCAAAAAGATTTCCAGTATAATGTTTTTAGCATTTTAGGAGCGAGACACTACCTTTTTTGGATGTTACTTTAAATATTATTACTGTTCTCTGTTATAAAATACACATATGGGGAATGACTTAAAATGAATAGATAAATTAAAGTGAAATTAAAAAGGCTGCATCAAAATGAAATCTTTTCATTTACTTATAATTATATTTCCTGGAATTTCATCTTGTAGGTAATTGCAAAAGTTGGACAGTTTTTTGTAATTAGTAAAAAACAATGAAGACCCAATCCTTTACTAAATGAAATGATCTGATAATCTTTCATATAGCTCCCTACTGTGCTTTGGATATTCAAAATCCAGCTGTAATATACATTTCTGGAACCCATGATCTTCTCCAAATCAGCCCCTAGAGTTTTGAATTAAGCATCTAGAAAACAAACATCAGAATAGGGTGTATGTCTGTGAAAATTTAATTTTAAATCGCTTCCCTATCAAAACATGAGACAGGATTATCTCACGGGCAAGCCAAGCAGCCCTCACCATCTCTAGTGCTGTCTGTGCCCTGCTCTCATTTGCCTTGGTGCCTTTAAAATTGGCAGGAAGTCAGGTAAAGACCTTACAGACACAAAGGGCATTTTCACTGTGGTAATCTGAACTCAGCCCTAGAGGTGATTAACCCTGAGTACCAGAGAAGGCATAAATCAGGCAGAAGAATAACACACACTCATATAATTAGGCTTTCATAATTCTGCTGGATTAATTATGGTTATTTTGGACAATTAAGGACTCCCCCATCCTGGCCATAACATAAGAATAGGTTTTAGAGTCACAGTGCTCATCCAAATATCCTTGCCAGCTCCCACTGTTTCATTTTACCTACCTCAATTTTCAAATTAAATTAGCCAAATTATCATCAATTATCTGTCTCAAGGTGCTTGCTTTCTGCAGTGGTGAACCTCACTTTCTCTCTTTTGTGTCTTGCAGAGTTACAGTGATAGAATTAATATTTAATTGTATATACCCTATCCCTGGAAGCATTCAAGGCCAGGTTGGATGGAGCCCTGGGCCTCCTGGTCTGATGGAAAGTGTGATGGAAAGTGTCCCTACCCATGGCAGAGGGTTTGGAACTAGATGGCTTTTAGGGTCCCTCCTAACCCAAACCATTTTGTGGTGCTGTCTAGCTTTAAAGTCAGGAACATTGATCCTTTATTCTTTTCAAAGTTGTTCAGCTTAAAAGTATTGGGAAAGGGGCTCAACTCCACCCTCACCAGCCTTTCCCCAGGCTTTGAACTAACTCCATGGCCTTTGAAATTGCACAAGGAACCTGGAGAAGCAGAGGAGAGAGGCACTTGTCTCTGTTGGCATGCACCTCACCTTTTGATTTGGGGAATAAGAGAAAACAGCTGCCCCTTCTTCCATTTTGTTTCTCTGTTTCTTTTCTTCATCCTTTCCTAAGGAGTGCAGCTGTCCCTGAGCCCCATGCCTGCAGGGACACTGACTTTGCCAGGATTCCCTGGGTAGGCAGAGTTATATCTGGGCACAGGAAGTTACAGGGCATGAACCAGACCTGCCTGGTACACAACAAAAGAAACAAGGCATGTGTCAGGTTGCTGCCTGTCCTAGCTGAGGTCAGTATTTTGTTATTTCAATATCCATTCTATTTACTGTTGTTGGAAATAAGGACCAGTACCTTTTTTATTTACATACTTTTTATGTTCAGATCCTGTGAGGTTAGAACCAAACAGAATTTAGAGGGAATCTCTTTGCTTTCTGCTTCACTTGTAGTAATCATATTTATCAGAAAAAAAACCAATAGGAAAATGAAATTGCTCTACTCTTGATCAAGTAATATAGGTATTACACATAGCATGTTATGTAAAGAATGTATAATAATATAATATAATAATGTATTGATAATCCATTTTTTAAATATAGAGTTAATTCAGGTAATTTACTTGGGAATCTGATACTTTGTGAATTGTTAATTCCATTTGTTACTGTGCCAGCATGATGTTTCCATTGTTACTCACTTATGTCTGTCTCCTTCTTTCCTTCTCTCCTACTTTCTCCATCAAAGGACATCAACTCCGCTTTGTCTGTTTCCAGACCTTCCTCTCCACTACAATTGCTACCTTTTAAAAAATGCAATGCAAGATAATTAGCTACTACAAAAATTTTTAATAGCACTGTAGATCTGGGGGCAGCTTAGATCTCCATAAACTTTAGAGTTTTAGATGCTCCAAGATGCAATCTGAGCAATTTCCTTGATCTTTTATTGCAGCTGGTAAATCATTTATTGGGCTAGGTTATTTTACAAAATCCTCTTTAGAAACAAAATCCCATAAAATGTATTTATCATAAAGTACTGTATGACCAACAGTCTTCAAAGCTGTACATACCCTGTATTAATTAAAAGCTAGTGTTGTATTGTGACAAGTTAAAAGTATCCACTGTCTCAGTCTCTCTCTTCCCCCCTCACCCTCTGCCTCTCCCAATGATTTTTTTCTCTCTTCTTTTCCTTCTCTCATATGCTCTTCTCTTTTAAGGCTTGCCAAAGGGGAGATGGGTGAGTACGAACAAGATATTCTTTTGTGATCACAAATATTTTTCTGATAATTGTGATTTTTTTTCTTCCATTGCTAGAGCACGCATGTCCTTTTCTATTCATATTAATTTGACAGTGGTGTCTCACATCCGTAGGCCATAGTCAAACCTCCTTACAGTGGGCATTATACACATATGTAATAAAAAGATCATTTTGGCTGCAGAAGCCCACAGGCTTCAGCTTCCATCTCACAGCCTACACGAGTGCCTTTCCCACTGTGCCCATGTACAGCCTTGCTCAGAGCAGCAGGCTCTTGCTTGGGTCCACTGAGTTGAGGGTGAGGGGATGAGTCCAAAAGATGAGGTGGGGGTGAAGATGTTAAGGCAGCAGGCAAATGTGGTGACATATTGCAGGGCCATCCCTTCACAGCCCGGTAGATGCCAGGTGCTCACCAAGTGCTCTGCTGGCCTTCCTGGAGAGCCCACTCCAGGACCTTGCCTTGCACCACAGCATGGCTGAGCCTCTTTTCTCTGAGATGTGTGTTCCTGGAGTTAAAAGCCTGTGTAATCTGCAGCAGAACATCAATATTATTTGTGACTATTGTCTGAATAATATGGGTAAGATTGATAACCTTGAGAGAAAAGGAAGAAAGTTTGGAGAAATTTTAACCTTGCAGCCAAAACCTGCTCTCAGAAGCTCTCTAGCTCTCTTCTTCTGTTCCCTGAAACAAGCAAAATTTGAAGAAAAAAAATGTTCATCATGAGTAATTGTCACTATAAAGCCAGATTTCCTGAACATGTATAAAAAACCAGATGTGGGAAATAATTTCAACGCTTCAGTGCTTTAACATTGCTTTTTATGCATAGGTTCTAGAGGAGATGTGAAAAAGACCCCAGATTTCAAAAATCTTTATTTCTCGTAATACAAAAAAAAAGAGAATAACATATTCACCTTCTGTGACTTTAGGAATCTTTAGGCTTGAGTTTAAATATAAAAACTAGCAGTTTCAATTGCCAACAACTTATCATCAAACACAGCTCTCAAGGGTTAACATTACACACTAATATAAAAGTAACGATCATCCTTTGTCTCCATGCAATTAGCTTTTTAACAACGTGCCTGTAGCTCCTACCCAGGCTAAATGCTGCTTTGAAATATTTTCTCCTCAACTCCAAATGTGTTAGGCTGACTCTGGCCAGCTTCTATAAAACCAATTAATTGTAGGGCACTGCCTTTTGTGGGGGAGTACCCAGTGCCATGTGCTGCCCATGGTGGCTGGTTTGCAGGCTGGACAGTGCAGCTCCAGTGCAGAGACAGCATCTTGATGCAGGAGACAAGCTGGCAAATCCCATCTAGAGTCACATTCTGGCATGTCCGGAATCCAGAGCGTTGGAGCAGGCTTTGGTTCTCACTTGCACCCATCAGGAGAAGATGCAGCTTGTGTTCAAGAGAGGTAGCAAGGGGGTGGTGAGGACAAAAAAGGCTCTTGGCAAAATGTCACAGGCCTGGGTAGGGTGAACAAGGTTGAAGACCCCTTCACAACCCTGCCACTGCACCTGTGGACTTCATGAGTTTTATTAATTTTTTTTTCCAAATTGAGGAGGATCCTGAGCGACAGGAAGAGTTAACTGTAAAGGGCACAATACAGTAAACTTGTTTTTTATATAAAGACAATAAACTTTCCCTTTATAATACACATGTGATTTGACATTGAAATAAATGCAGATGCTTCTTTGCTTGGTGTATTCCCTGTTGTGCTTTCTAAAACACCTTCACATATGGTTTGCCTCATTCCTGTGAAACTGCTTGTTGTTTATGTCATACAAACAGAACAGATTGAATTTATACCAAGTTAGGAGGGTGATGAATCCTATGTTAGAGGAAAATCCTTGCCTGAGTTTTTGAATTTGTTCAAAATTAGCATTGCCTGTTAAAAAATGCCCTGGATTGTCCCTTGAGCTTTTCTAAGCAATTCATTAAAACAAAAAAAAAGAAAAAAAAAAGAAAAAAAAAGAATTCAGTGGCTGCCCATAAATGCAACCTTTTATTCAAATATGTAACATTTACCTAAAATCAAAGGTCAAATTTTACCAGCTTTTTATAGCCATCCTAGTAGGATCTGTTTCATGCACTACATATAAAGTACTGCCGTTAAGAGTGGACATTCATCTTCCTTTGTGAAAAGCAGAATAACCCCTTA